TTCTAATGGACATTTATGGGTAAATTATTTCCCTCTTTTTTATGATCTTAATCAAAACAAAAAATGTCAAAATTTCATAATAAAAACATTTTTTTATTGATCATACATTATTGATTAGAAATTTTAAATCAAAATCTTTTATTAACCAAAATTATGTCTAATATTTTTTTAATTTAATATAAAAGTAAAATAATATCTGTATTATAAAGTGTTTTTAATATAAAAGGCATTTTTTACAATAGTAAATTACATATTTATTATTATAAATTCTTATTTACTTTTTAATCTAATGTATTGTTTTAACTCATCACATTAGTAATTTTATACTAAATTCATATATTTATTTAGCATCTTAAACTTTTTAATTATGATTTATTAAAACTTATTAAAAATATAAAGGATGGAAGAGTCTTTTTTGATTTTTTTAAAAAAAGTGATTGTCTAAAATCCGTGGTTAAGGGATTTTGTAAGTTTTGCTACAACAACATATTCTTATTTTTTTATTTAATTAACAACCCTTAAAGGAGTAGGAGTTTTTGATTAAATATTTTCTAATTTTCTATAAATTATATATATAATTTAGAGTATCAAAACAATCGTGAACACCAATAAAAACAATACTTTTTCTATATAATTTTTTTTTAACATCATTATAACAATAAATTCTTTAAGCTTCTCACAAAATATTGTAAATTTTTTAATTGATTTAATTTTCTAATAAAAACATTTATCTTATCTAAAAAATTTTATATCTTCTTATTTTAGTTTTTTTTAAATATCTAGTAATATAAACTCAAAAAATTATTTTTTCTTTTGATTATTTTATATAAATAGAATATTATTTCCATAAACTCTCAAATAAATTTATACCATCTATAATTTTTTATGATGATTTTTTTATATTCTTCAGTTTGTAACACCTTAATACCTTTCTAAAACCATAAATTATTTTAAAATATCATTTAACAGATTTTCATTATAACTCTTTTAATCAAAAATAAAGTGTGATTAAATAATTTTATAAGTTTTGTTTGATTTATAATTTTAAAACAAGAAAGATTTGTAAATTTAAAAGTATTTTTATAAAAATAACCATTTAGTTGATCTTTTTTAGAAAATTATTATAATTTTTTTAACACAATCAATCTTTTTGAATTTAATTTTTTTAGAATTTCCAAGAAATAGATTGTTTTTAGAAAACTTTATTGCTTTTGAGTAGTGAATATAGTCATCTTGAGATGATTTGTTCTCTTTCAAAATTATCAGTAGTTGAATTATTTAAACGTCTTTTCTTTATTCTTAGATAGTTGTTTTTCATTATTAATTTAATTTCAATATCAGTCAATTTGTTATTAATATGAGTATTTTCTACTTCTACATTAATATTTAATTGTTTTTAGATTTATTTTTGTTAAACATTTTATCTGTATGTTTAATAAATACTAAATTATTTTAAGAATTGATTTATTAAAAAATTATAATGATAAAAACATTATATTATAACAAACATGATAATATTGATTGTGTATAAAAAGATAGTAAACAAATTATTTGTTATAAAACTTTTATATTTAAATAATTA